ATATAATCCATGTGATTTTGATGTTGACTTTAAGGTACGATCGGTTTCGGAGATTTAGTACCCGGGGCTTCAGTCGTGGGGAGTGATAGCTCGCAAGAAAAGCTCGTTATTTGCAGTCTTTATTTGTTGGCAGGTATGGTATACTATAATAGTATTTGATGAGAAACTAGTGTTACTTTTGATTTGTTTTTGTGTTTTAATTTATAATATATTGAATGTGTTGTGTCTGATGTACTGATGTAATGAAGGTATGGCTCTACTGGCGATGTGTTTCAATCTAATGCAAGAGGAAGTCATACATAAAGTGCGGAGTTGTGGCCAAAGATTAGGCATTATTAGTGAAAACAGAGACGAAGAGGAATACGGCGATGAGTTTGACATGTCTTGAACACTGAGAGAGAGAGAGAGAGAGGGCTATGGAGTCAGTGGTCTATTGCCAGTCACTACAGCATCCCTGGCATTCAAACTAATCCTAAGCCACTATTGTATGGCATTGTTATTCTCATAGCAATGATCTTATATACTGAATATTAGCAGACATTGTACGGCATTGTATGCTATCATCTCATTGTGATAGCAATGCACGCACTCTATCATTGCGTGTAATTATCGACTTAACGAGGCTTTTGAGTCAAACTAGAAATTCATTATTCCCTTTGATTAGTCCTTTAGTTTTATATTATATTTTTGAATAAACTTTTTCATTAAATCGCATTAAAAAATACATATTATTATACTAATTCACTGTTGTATTCCCCGTAGAAATGAGTATACATTTTCACACATAAATATAATGTTCACTCATTTTTAGTACAAATAACTTAACAAACATTGATCTTAATTAGATTTGAAATCATATTATACTAGTATTATGTAACATGGTAATTTTGTACATTACAATAGCCTACGCTACGTACAATAGATTTGAAAATCGACTGCTTTTTACTAAACAGTGTTATAGAGTTTGTTTTTGTCATTAAATAAAATCCGCTAATTTAAATGAAATCATTAAAAACACTAAATTGGTGAACAATAGTGTGAGAAAATAGATGTATTTCTCAATTCTTCCTGAGTGTGTCGTCTCTTGTGGTGGGAAACGGTGCTAAACTCATATGGTTTGAGTGGCACAGGGATGCAAAGGGTTTGGGCGCTGCGAAAAAAAGTTGGCAGTAACGCAGACCTGCTCCCAATGTATGGGCCAAAAGTGTAGCAACAGATAGGAGTTAGTAGTGGTTCTCATATGGCTTTGGATAGAAAGAGATCGACACGAAGGAGTGCACGACATCCCCATCGAGAGCCTGTGGGTCCGGCGCAGGAGGACAGGCGTCCGCCCGCATCCAAATGCAAGACGTGTTGCCGGAAGTTCCTGGCGTTCCTCGTGTCCAACGTCGGCCTCTGCGTACTGGTCGTCGCCTATTCAGTGGGCGGCGCCTTCATGTTCCGGGCACTGGAGGCCCCCTACGAGGTGGAGACCGCCAAACAGGTGATCGACTTGCGGAACAAAACCATTCATCACTTGTGGAACATAAGTATGTCTTATATTCTTCGGGAGTGCGATGTGTCACCGCGTATTGGGATGTCATATGAGTAATGAATGCATTGTGTGTTTTGTCTCCTAATGTCTCGTAGCCTACAATCACAACGTCTTCAACTACAGTGTGTGGCGGCAATCGATCGTCGATGAGATCAAGAGCTTTCAAAGTGATCTCATGAAAGCGATCAAAGATGGCTATGAAGGGCAACAGGACATGGGTCAGGAACAGTGGTCTTTCTCCGGTGCCTTCCTCTTCAGCCTCACTGTCATCTCCACGATCGGTATGTTTTTAATTAATTTTGGCGCTAATATATCACTCGCTTGTCCTCATTAATCGATCGCCAAATAACTTATATATATATATATATATATAACTATATATACGGTGTGTATATCTATCGGTATATAAGAGGCCTTTTGGGCTCAAAATAATCGACAATAAAAGTAATAAAAGTTTTCACGGAATAGCGATTGAATGAGTTTCGCGTCCTCATAGTGACAGTCAAAGACAAATCAAGTCCTTTGTTGTCACCGAAGAATTAATTATGTTTTAGTCCACAATGAGAGAGAGAAAAAAAAGTTTAGTAAAACAAATGATTCATTTGATTCCGACACTACTATAACGTATGGGCCCTAACTGTTGTTGATTACAATTACTACCAAAACGGTTGTTGTCTATACAGCTATTATTAAATGTGATTTCATTACAAACACAACGAAAATTGCATTTCTATTTAACAGTAGACATACAAAAATCCAATAACTATACCAGGCTTTTAAAACTAAACGGCTTATATGTATGCAAACAATTATAATAACACTGATTAAGAATTTGCGAGTGTTTTGAATTAAATTTGATAATTAGAGCGCAAAACACAGTATTTGTTTCACAAATCTATTTCTATTATAGTTATAATCTAAATAAAATACAATTTATTTTTATGTTAAACGCCACAAAAGCATCGCAAAAATATTTGAAAACTTTTTTTGTTTCTCGCATCGAAATTCTGTGTGAATACTGAGGGAAACACTTGACTACTGAGCATAAGATATGAAAACTGTCATCAATTCCTATAGTCTTTGATGAATAATGTTTTAATGCTTTAAATAAAAGCAGTGAAAACTTGCCATACTACACACAACTTGCACACTTCATGGTATGATTTATAAAATATAAAATATACTATATTTTTCTTAGCGACAGCAATACAAAAAAGTTTGTGCTTTTAGTATGAATTGGGTATCAAATTATAATTCAGGAGAAAGAATTTTTGAAAACTCTATTCAATAATAATATATTCGATTATTTGTTGCAAATACTAGAGTATCATACACTACTACTCGACGTCAATACTACAGAATATTCTGTATTTCTGTATAATATACGGTATACTTGTTTTTGAAGTAAAGGCTGAGTTAGCAATGGTTTTGCATGAAAAGTGGATTCAGTGATCGCACCGACGACTGTATTCTTGAGCACACTTTTAGACAAACAGTAGAGAGAGAGAGAGAGAGAGAGAGAGAGAGAGAGACTGTGGAAGAGCCGTGTGATTGTTCGCTGTGTTTGTATCACTTGATGCCGTCCTCATTGGAAAGCATCCAAAATCATATCTCAATCTCTATTTCTCTGAACTTTTTGAAGTATATATATATTAGTTACGATACATTTCATAAGCCGTATTCATCTGATCGGCGGCCATATTGACTATGATTGCAACGCTGGCATCACATCCAGTGTCTCTCCAGTCGACACATGCACTCGCATTCACAACCCTATTGTCAATACAAAGAGATCGCAGAGATTGGCAGCAATGATATAAACCCCGTCTTAGAGCTCAACGTCTCAAATGACACCAAAGTTGAGAACAGCTCTCAATCGATCACATCCTAAGACATCACTATTGGCATAGTATTTGCCGCACAGTTAGAGGACATTCCCTTTTAATTAAGTGATTATTTAATTAAATATAAACTTTTGTATTATATAACACACAAAAAACGAGACACAGAGAGATAGTATTTGCGAAACCAAAGCATCGCTTATCGATTGTTATAATTAACTTAAAACATGTTTATATTTAGTGTCAAAGTCTACAAGACATCAAATTAAGATTTATTGGTTTGGTTTCAAAAGTTGTGTCGAAATGATTTCTAAATATCTCAACAAAAATTGTTTGCAACGTTTCAATCAATTTCCGCCACAGAGAGAGAAAACCTCATTATTATTGAATTTTTTGAGGATAAATAATTAGACAACTCTTAAAAATCATACATTTCGCAAAAACGAGTATTTATTCATTTTTTCCCGTTCAACATATATTTTATGTCTTAATACAAAACTCTGTACTCATTATTCATTTTTTAAATCACATCTTAAGATCTGAAAATAAATGACTCGAACAAAAAGCATTAGTAAAATAGTAGCGAAAGTTACTTATGGGAAAGGCATCTCACAAATTATAAAATATGCTTTTATCTAATATTTCATTTATGAGTTGCACACAATTCCCGTTGACTTTTCGTATTTTACACAAAGAATTAATTATCAAAACGAAACATTTGAAAAACTTTAATAATACTAATTAATGCTTGTAATAACATAATATGAATATTGTACAATATTATTATATTCATAAATTAATATCAAATCTCTTTATTTCATATAAAACATGTAATTATTATATTTAAAAGAGTGTTTATTTTAGAAATGAAAAATTCTATATTTTTATTTTAATTGAATCGTTTAATCATTTTTAGAAATTATTATATTATAATGGTATATTGGGGTGTCTTAATTATTTTTAAATAAATAATAAAATTCTTATGAATTGTTCGCCAAGTGTTGAAAATGGTTTTATAAACAATGTTAAGAAAAAGACTGTGACCTACATACTAAGGTTTCATCAAACTTTAATATACACTTAACTTTCATATAGTTTTAAAACCTATTTTGTTGAAAAGTGCAAGGGTTACTTCAAAATAAAAACAGTTGATTTTTAAAATTCACCTAATTTACCATTATTTACTTAAATACTAAATTAATAAAAATGCTTTTATAAGTAGTAATAAGTTATTACTAATAACCATGTTAAAAGTGTAAGTTTAAATAGCGAGTATATATATATAAATTAGAAGTGATTCCCAATAAATTGTTTTTACAGCTGTTATCCTCACTCTAGTCTCCCGTTTAGATAAACGGCGACTATTTTTAACGTTTACGTCAAACACAACTAAAATTGTTGTTAAATTTACTTTCAATTCAACAGATTTATTAAGCGTTTCTTATTTACAGAGAAAATTCAATAATTAATTATGAAAGCGAATCGAGAAAATAAGCGCAACAACTGTTTTCATTGCTATTTCGGTGTTTTGCTATATGTCTGGTGTATTATTACTGTTTAAGCAACACTTGAGTTGATTGTCTTTTTGTTAAAAATGCATTTTAAATATATCAGCATAATTTTTGATTATGGCTTACGAAAGCCGTGTCGAGAATGAAATGTGTTTATGAAACTTATAAATAGTTTTCATGCCATTGATTCCCATAAATACACAAATTCGGTGTCAAACACAATACTTATCGTATGTTTTGTCAGAGAGTCTATTAATTGCCTTTTTAAATTTCAATCAATATCTGTGTATTTTCAAAGTTTATAGTTAATTGAAAATAATTTCAATTTCATTACAATATTCAGTGTTTTGAGAATCTAGTGAATTTTATTTTTACATTTGTTTTATAATATAAGTTGTAATAGCAAACCGAATGGTTATGAATTGAATTACAGCAATGTCAAATCAATTTATAAGAACTATATTTTATTTTATAGTAATTTAAAAGTCATTTACGGTATGCTTAGAAAGATTTCTATACGACGTGTGAGCCAAACAAAATTGAATCAAAATATTGTGTTTTGCATAAAAATGAGCATAAAATGTGATTTTAAGCCAAATATTATATTTTTTCGTCTTATTATTTGTGAAGAATATTATGTATTGTTTGGCATTTAAGTCACGTTAAGTCGTGTCTATTATTCATAAAATTTATATATATTTCTTTGTAAATTAAACTAAAAATCCATTAGTTTTTAAAACTTAAGTTTTATATTTTAAAGAATTGCCATTTGATGAGATTTTTGCAAACAAATATTTGTAATTCAAAATAAATTTTATATAATATTTCCAGACATTAATGATAATATTTATTTCAGTATGTCGTTGATGCCATAAATCTTATATTAATGAGAATAATATATTAATAGAATTATCCGAGAATTAAAACAATTAGCTATTTATAATTTGTTTTGATTTGTGAGCATAAATTTATATTAAATTAACCCAAAAATATATGCCAAAAATACATATCACAATCTCTTTACTTACTTATTATCTCTGGAAATTAGGGGAATATATAGTTTTGCTTTTATATTATTAATTTACTCAAAAGTCGAGCATTTCTTTGAAATTAGATTTAATGTTTAGCTCCATATTAACGACTGGAATCACTAATTTGTTACACGAGTTATAAAAATGAAAATAAAAGGATTTAGACAATACTAAATGTGGCAAAAATGTAATTTTATATTTAAATTAATTATTCAAACGTAGTGTTCAAGTGATGAGAGAGAGAGAGAGAGAGGGGGAGAGAGAGAGAGAGAGACTCTAATATTTCATTACTTATTTTACATTTGATAACTAATCTAAAGGCATAGAAATACTTTCCGTTTTTGTGTTGGAAAAACATAATTATTCACTTTTAAGCATTAATTGTTAACATGAATAATGTTTTAACACTTTTTGCAACTCAAATTCCCGTATTGAGCCAGCACACACACACACACACACACACACGCAAATTTACGGGTGTTCACTATAAACGAGAGACATTTATTTGAAACATATTTTCGCTAATTATTCAAAAAATAAATCCATAAAAATGGTTTTTCTCAGCCGATTCCGTGTGATGGTTGGGTCAGATTTCAGGCCTGAATTTTCAAGACTGAAATCTAATTAATTTTTAATGATGTGCTCTTTATTTTTTATGCCTCTAATAGAATCAGCACTTATGATATATCCCTACAGAATATATGATATATAAAAGAAAATGTGAAATTTTGTTTTCAAAATATCCATTCGCTAATGGATTTTGAAGTATGTTTTGAGCGAAAAGTTTTTGCGACTAAACTCTCACAATAGGACTGAGGATATCTTCCCAATTAACGTATGCTTTGAGCCAATTCTGGGGCTCACAAAATGGCATTTATGATCACTGTATATATATATATATATTTAAATTAGGATTCTTATACCAGAATATTCTTACATGTTTATTTTAATGATATTCACGCCATATGTCTATAGCAAATACGAATTAGTATTCAATTCTTATTATATGCATGCTAATTTATTATATTTTACATTCAATTATCAAATGTTTATATATTGGTCTAAAATCTAATTCCTTGATTTCAATCATTGATTTGTAAAAATAATTTATTATTCACTAAACTATTATTCAATTTTTAATTTTATCATTTGTTTGAGTGGCTATCGATTTAAATCTTTTATCTACTGAGACGTTGGGCAACGATGTAACAAAAATAGGCTTTCCATTATTTATGGCAAACAGCAAAATAATAATAAATATGATTTTATGACATTTGTATCTGTAATGTAAGAAATAAATTAATATCCAGAGATATTAAACTTCACAATGTATTGCAGTCTGGCTTTTAAAAATAATTTTGCCAAAACTAGACTACTGTATATCTATAGTTTATATTCTAACAGTACAGTAGTAACACTTAAAAATTATTAATACAATAAAATGTATTTTTTTAATCTCCAAAATTAATAACAAATATGATGTCTAGAAATACATTCCCATGAATTGAATTAACCCGGTGTTAACGGATGAGATCTATACGACTATTGCACTCTATTGTATTGTATAGTATTATATATATTCGAGATTTGTTGCAAACCCCAGAGAATGTCACTGATTATGATTATATTCCCCAAATTAATGCCATATTTTGTAACATTATCTCAGACTTCACTTATAATAAGTCTACACATATTGTATAGACATTACAATTCTATTAATATGATATCGATATGAGATTATAGTAAATACAAAGAAATTAGTCTTCACTTATTGGTTGGTCGTATTGGATCTCATGTCAGGGGAAATCTCGCATACATTAAGAGTTTGTGAGTCTCTCTCTCTCTCTCTCTCGCTCTCTCTCAGATTATAGTAAATACAAAGAAATTAGTCTTCACTTATTGGTTGGTCGTATTGGATCTCATGTCAGGGGAAATCTCGCATACATTAAGAGTTTGTGAGTCTCTCTCTCTCTCTCTCTCTCTCTCTCTCTCTCTCTCTCTCGCCTCACAATTGATCCCATCTTTCTATCGTCACTACAATTATTTGATTGTGTTTTATATATGAAAAAATGTGTTGTTTTTCCAACACTTTTATCGGCTCTGCTTTTTATGAGTTATAGTCCGGGCGCTCATCCATTCAAATAAAACAATGGATGCAATGATGAGCTCTTTTTTGCTGTATATTCTCCTCGTATGTAATATACAGAGGAATACACTCTCGAGAGTAATACTCATCGCATATACAGAATAAATACATTCACATGTATTGTGATTCATATCATTCACGACATTTATTCCTGTAATCAAATATTTGTGATATTTATATGAAAATGCATTCAATTTTGGAAATGTGTTTAAAAATAAATTTAGTTCGCCTTAAATGTCGTAATAAAAACACGCATAAAAAACCAAAAAAAGTTTATATTAAAAATTAATTTCATTTCAAATTTAGTATATTGATATATTTCTCGCAACCCTATATTATTACTATCAATATTGATATAAATATATTTTCACAGCAAGTGAACCAAAAAAGTAATACAAACATTATATTGACTAACGGTTTGGCACAACAAGATTATATGCCTACAAATTATTGATACTTTGTGTGCGCCAGTAGTTTGTGTGTTAAAGATAGAAGTGAAGATCCATTTCCTCATAGAATTACAGTGAGAGCAATGATGAGTACATCTCTCTCTCTCTCTCTCTCTCTCTCTCTCTCTCTCCTCCAAAATAGTCGGCGTTTCAAAAGAAATGAATAACACATTAATATCTATGCATTTATACGAGAAGTTTAGTAAAAGAAATTTAGACGTTATTCAAACATTAGTACTCAATATAACTACCGGTGCCTTAACGTACTATAATAGCGTAAGAATTATATCTCCCTTTCCTTTCATTAATAGTAAAACTAATAAAATTTGTTCATATTTTCACTTTTCTTTCACTTATTTTATACGAAATGTATTGCAAATACTTTAGACTGACTTAACGACAAGTATTACTATAAATACGAATTATTTGTGCAAACGTATAGACAATCTATTAATAAATAAGTTATAATATTATGCATGGATTTGAATATTTGAATATTGCAAAAATGGTTATATGTTATAGGAATTTTTATTGTAGAAATTGTAGTGAATAAATTTATGAACAATATATGGATTTCTATTTATATAACACTCGTTTTAATCGCTTTAAAAAATAGCTCAAGTGTTAAGCATGTATATAATATAAGTGAATATATATTACACTTATAATAAACAGTAAAACCCTTTTACATAATAGAATAGAATTGAAAATAAACCTAAATTTAAGTCATTATACATCCGTTTATTAATAGATGAGCTCCGGAATTGTGCTGAGACTCAGTTATCCTTAGTTTTAGTGCCTATTCTGCTAACAAAACGCAACCCGTATACCAGTATATGAGCCAAAAGAATGCCATAGTCTTAACCATTTTGACAATCGTTTTGATGTTTATGTTAAATCTGATTGTTTATGAGACACTTAACTCAGTCACTAAAACAACAATATTTTTCTTTCGCAAAACACAAAAGCTTTTATATATATTTATAAAAATACATTACGTTTAAAAAATTTTTCTCCGGATTTCAATGTTAAGCACAAAAAATCATAAAAATAATAATAATATTTCCAAATCCTATTCTTTTGCCATTTTTCTCGAGATATTTATTACACTGTCTCTCGCATGTGAATTGTCGATGAATTTTATTTTTATTTGATTACATGGGAGAATATTTTCCGAGTATTATTTATATAATATGCGATTATATTTCCCATGTCTTAGGCTTTGATTTAATGAACAATTTTCTGGTTTATTCGTAACGATATCTCCGCCGAAAATAAAACATAATTTATAATAATTACGGAGAGTTTTTATATAATTTAATTTACCCACATACAAATATACACTGCAATTCTCGCACACAAACACACAAACAAATTATGTTATTATCAGACATTAAACTCAAGAATATTCTGCGATTCTATAAATACTAACGTTTATTTGTTTTAATGCTAAAAATACTTAACTATACGATAAATATTTGTGTTTAATATATATCTTACATACGAAAGGTTACGGCAACATTAGCCCGCGAACTGATCGAGGCAAAATCATGACAATACTGTATGCGATATTTGGCATTCCATTGATGTTACTGTACTTAACAAATATCGGCGATATATTGGCGAAGGCTTTCCGTTACGTCTACGGGCGCCTGTGTTCGTGCAAATCGGGTGATAATAAGAAAGCCTACAACCGGTCGGTGCGATACGGCCTCAACCGCAGCGTGTCGTCGGTCACGCCGTCCGGAAACCAGAGGCTGTCGCCGCAAACGCCGACCCATTCGTTACCGAACTCTCCAATGTCTTCATTAAACAGACCAATGCATCCCATTCTCCACCAAATCGGGTATGACTTGGATTTCACTTTAATTACACAAACAGTAAAACGATTGAAAGAGAAAAAAACAAGTTTTTATAAGTCCTGCTAAATTGGCTTTCAGTTCAGCGCCGCCACCAGGGATTGGGGATCAGCAGACGCTGCAAACGCTGACCAGAGATAACGCATCTCTGTTTCAGAGGCAGTCAAACAGAGGCGACTTATCCGATGGCGCGATCACTGAATCGGCGTTTAATTTCAATGTTGTCAACGAGAGGACCAAGGAGTCCACGCGAGTACACGTGCCCATCACCCTGTGCCTGGTCCTACTGACCAGCTATGTCTGCGGCGGTGGTGTACTGTTCTCGCTGTGGGAGGGCTGGAACTTCTTAGACGGCGCCTACTTTTGTTTTGTTACTCTAAGTAATTTTAAATTTAATAAATCTTTCCTATTATTGAACGTTCAAACATATAATCCATGTGATTTTGATGTTGACTTTAAGGTACGATCGGTTTCGGAGATTTAGTACCCGGGGCTTCAGTCGTGGGGAGTGATAGCTCGCAAGAAAAGCTCGTTATTTGCAGTCTTTATTTGTTGGCAGGTATGGTATACTATAATAGTATTTGATGAGAAACTAGTGTTACTTTTGATTTGTTTTTGTGTTTGAATTTATAATATATTGAATGTGTTGTGTCTGATGTACTGATGTAATGAAGGTATGGCTCTACTGGCGATGTGTTTCAATCTAATGCAAGAGGAAGTCATACATAAAGTGCGGAGTTGTGGCCAAAGATTAGGCATTATTAGTGAGAACAGAGACGAAGAGGAATACGGCGATGAGTTTGACATGTCTTGAGACTGGAGTCTGAGAGCGAGAACTCAATATAATTTTCATTTAATAAGAAAAAGAGCGAGTCTTCGGAGTCTTCAGATAAAGTTTTCTAATTTTCTGAATGAATGAACACTTGAATGAAGAAATGCTATGAAAAGAGAAAAGGAGTGAAGAGCTGGAGAGTACCGGTGCGGAGAATATATGACGCGATTGTCGGCATAATATTATTTAATTCACATGAGATCTCTACACATATAATATATATATTTTTAAAAGTATCGCAAAATTGTTTTCTTCTTCTCGAGAGTTCACTCTCTAATCGCCAGAAGAATAGAGAGAAATAAAAATATAATTAATCTTATATTAGACTCGAGAATATTAAGGCGTTTGGCGAACAATAAACGAGACCCGCAGGGACTGGCGATAGGCTGACGGCCCCTCCACTGTACATCACTCTCTCGTATGTGTCGATGTAATCACTAATAATAATAATAAGACCAAAGAAAGTGTTACCAAAAGGCGAATGAAATGAAGACATGAGATGATAGAGAAAAAAGTCGTCGCAAAGTATTGGCATAAGTATTGGCATAAGTATTGGCAAATACAGTATATATGTGCGGCCATTGAAAAAGGGACACAATGTATGTCTGGTGGCGGACACTGACTACAATTCATTCATAATAGCAATTCGATTAGGACTTAATTTTGATAAATATGATCGCAATGAAACTCTTTGGACATCTATTAGCGAGATTGTGGTCGTAAGAGCTGTAATATTTCAAAAGCCGAGCGCACAAAAAACATACACCGATTGTCCCCGATCAGTCTTAACAGCTCTAATAAATTGTAACTCTTTTTATTCTGTACGCCAAGAATATTCTGTGGAATATAATTGATTTGATTTGTATGTGTTTCGCGACAAAACAAAACTCTGTCCACAATATTTTATTTAAACAAATAAAAGTACTGTACTATAAATTTTGATAAATTAAATGCGATTTTTATTTCTGTTGTTGTTTTTTGTATTTGTTAAGAGAAATTTATTTATTAAAGTCATTGTTATTTTATTGCCCAAAACAAATAAATACGAGCACACAAATTACATTGAATCCCAATGTCTCTATTGAATCCTTTTATCAATTGTGGACTTATTTTTTGGGTTTTGATACATGACTCCTGTTTGCTGTTATGTCGGCCCAACACACAGTGTTTGGCACTCAAGAGGTAGGTCTGGAAATAAATTAACAATAAATTTAAAACAATCTTATATATAGCGAGAGTGTGAGCACAGGTATCTGTTGGCAGCAAAAGTCGGATCAAATGAAAGAGAGAGAGAGAGAGAGAGAGAGAGAGAGAGAGAGAGATCGTGGGCTCAGCGCCAGAAACTACTATAACTAAGAGCTCATAAAACAACAAAAGATGATTATTATTATTATTATTGCACTTTTGAAACCTTTTTTGTTAGACTTATTTAAAATAGAAAAGCAAGAGAGGAGTCAAAAGGAAAAACAGTTGCTTTTGACTCGAGTTTTACATCACATTCACTCGCATTGTATTGTTTTTCTGTTCAATTCTAAGGGGTATAAGTGCCTAAACGACACATCAATATATACTGTATATACAGCGCTGTATATATTCTCTATGACTATTGCACTGTATATAACTGTAAGGCATATATTTAGTGTATATATGGATTGTTTGCAATTCCTTTATATATACTATACTTTATTATAGGCACTCGTATTGAACGCATTTCCCAAAACTGAATCCACTTTTAGTTTTTCTAAATTCTAGCGATCGATCTCTTTCTGTATATAACTTATACTTAATATACAACACAACTCTTCTTTTAGTACTATTCCTCCAAATCTTCTTCCCATCCATTCCTCAGTGTCTTTATGTTATCGTTATATTTTCATTCAAAAGCAAACATATCGTTAAAAATTGTGAATAAATTTAATTATAACTAAAGAATTATATATTTGAAGAAAATCTTTATGATATGTTTTTCCATATATTGGATAAAATGTTTGGTTTTACATAATTATGATTTATTATAGCTATTTAGTTGTGATCCACTGGTTGTGTGGCACTAAATATCTGGAACACAGTGAGAGAGAATAGACAGAGAACTGAGGAGAGAGAGAGAGAGAGAGAGAGAGAAAGAGAGAGAGAGAGAGAGAGANAGAGAGAGAGAGAGAGAGAGAGAGAGAGAGAGAGAGCAGTGTTGTGTTGTACTAATTTCGCACACGTCATGAGAAGTATGTGATAGATTGCGATTGCATTATGTGTTTCACTACTTATATAATACTTTTGCAATTTTACTACAAACGCGTCGTTATATTGTTTTATATAATGATGAATGAAATGATGGCACAAAACACTGGTTCCCATCGACAGTAGTACACACACTGTGTGCGTATTCCTGCACTGTAAGGGAACTGTATGTTTCATAACAGTGTCATTGTCTCCATTCCTCCAAATGTCTTGACAGTAGGCAACCAATAGGTGCGACCGAAAGTCAATATCATTTCTCTCTTTTTTAGGTGAATATTATAGCATTTGATTGAGAAAACGATTTCATTTCAACCGAAATGGTATTTACTTTAATAAATGCGACGAAAATAATATATATTTAAGACTTATATAGTATGGCATAGAATTGACTCATATTTACATATATTTGAAGATAAGCGACATTTTTATCATTCAATTGTAATGTAAAAAAATGCATTCACTTTGACTTCGGGGGAATTCATCTTAATTATCTCCAAACGCTAGACGAGTATTACATTTGCAATCAATTCTTAGTCTCAAATCTACTCAACAATAAAATAAACACAAAGACAAAGAAGATATAAATTCCTTGTAAATCATGGGTTCATTAAAAATGAATTTTCTCGGCATTCCTTATAGTATTATATTATAATTAAAATGTAATAAAAATTAATTTAATTGCAAAAAACATGAAAACTTATAGAAAAGTATTTGACTCAAAGAAATATATACGGTTTATATAACGAGAAACAATATTCCTTTTAAATACAAGTTTTTAAATCCTAAAATAATTGATTTATATGTCCGAAGAATTAGTTAGAATTTGTTGTATTTGATTGAAAAGATGTTCGTCCGATATATAATCCATTAGTATATACCCTGTAAGGGAATTGGCAGAGAGAGAGAGAGAGAGAGAGAGAGAGAGAGAGAACTAGGAATAAGAGAAAAATTATATCATTATATTTATTAAATTTTATATCCATTCGAGAGTATTGTAAACAGAATTGATTTTCTCTTTGCCATTGTGTTCATAAGAATCAAAGCGATTCTTATATCTACTCGAGTGGTCATCAAATCAAGTATTGAAAAATTCCATACAATTCAGTGACATATTATGTGCCGATTCTCTCTCATATATTGGTATATATATAAAATCGATATATATTTTCAACCGCTTTCCTTATATGAGTTTAGAAACTTATTTCTCAAAATTGAGTTTTCAATTACAAATACATGCAATGGATTATTAAAAACAACTTCAAATCATATATAATAATAATCTCTTAAGCAAATATGAATGCGAGATATTTTTATATTTAATTGAAAATCAATACAGCAAACCTCAACAAAACTCAAACATAAATATAACAGTTAAATCTTATTAAGTGTAATGAACTTTTAATTAAATAAATTTGTCTGAATCCGATTGATAGTTGCAAAACGCATATAAATTTGTCATTTGCTATCATATATTGGGCGACAATTGTATGGTTTCATTGTTTTTCAGTGAATTAAAGGAACAAATATTTATAAACGAAATGAAAATCAATTTCTATACCAAAAGGGAGGGTAGTATTTGTTGTGATAAATAGTGTAGACTTAAGTAATAACGGACCGAAAAGTATTAGTGGTCTCACGAAACCATCGCTTTATTTGATTGAGCGCTCAATAAAGAGGTAAATATCAATACATTGGATGCAAATACTGGTCCCCAATACTAATACTAATTCCGTGCAAACACTTAGAGCACATACAGCCCGACCCCACAGTCTTATATAATATGCGAGAACCTAACTGTCCTAAGGCTTGAATCAAATACGAGAGACTAATTTGCAATTATATTTAGTCTCTTATTACTAATTATACGAATATTTCTTATCATTAACGTGAATATATTTGTAGTTTTTTAAAAAGCAAAAATATAGTGTAGTTAGTGAGTTATCACACAATACAGTGATTTGTAGTCTAATTGTGAGCACTTGTAATAAAAACTATCTATTGATTTGGTGATATATTTTGGGAGAACTTATCATTTGTTTGCTTCAAATCCCATTTGGTTGCCGTTTTTCGCTCACTTTATGCTCGCTTTATGTAAAAACATTTTTCGATACACTTTGGAATTGCAATACATTTATTGATTTATAAAATCAATTCGTTTATAAAACTTAATATTAGTGACGGACTCAGACATTGCCGGAATATTTATGATGGAAAAATATTTTTAAGTATTTTTTGCAATTTATTCAAAATATTTTGTGTCTCAAAACTGCGAATGGTTTGAGTGCTCTATTGTCTTAATGTCAAGAGATTTCAAGTTTATAAACTAATTAATTTGATCGTGATCCATTTGTCAACTGAATGGTAAGTTAGAGTATATTGAAGTTATATGTCTGAGAGATATTTAAGTTTTCCATAACAATAGATGAAAGGATTATATATTGTCTATCGATATGGATATGAATGCGACAATCGTTGAGACATATATATATTTCCTGCGTTTTTGTGCACTTTTCCAATAGGAATAAACTTATGGCTGAAGGCATTCATCACTTGATCCCATGCCTGCAATACTATGGCATCTCTGGTGAACACTCTCACCATACAGTAAATTGCATTATACAGTACATTGTAGATCATTACTTGTAATAGGATTTATATGTGATTTGATGTACTTATGTATGTGTTTTGTGTATGAGTGGCAAAAAATTAGAATTCAATATTGTAACCCCCATGTTCAAATACTGAACTCACATTTTGTATGTCACATACAGTGTATATAAACTTCAAACCCGACAAAATGTATATACAATCCGATTCCTAATCATAATACACGCCATCTCTTCATATTCTGTGCAGTAATACTGATATGTGTTTCCAAAGCAAAGAATTAAAGGAAAAAAGTTTAATAAATCTATGATATTAACGGATATAATGCGAGAATTA